CCAGGCACAGAAAATACAAATTAAATGCCGACATCAGAGAAAGATTCTGTTCTGTTGCAAGAACAAAAAGCAAACAAATATTTTGTTGTAAGGAACAAAACGTTGACCTCTGCAAATTTGGGAAGGCTTCAAGAAACAACATAACTGCGGGAAAAAATGTGCAGAGCAGCAGAATAAAGCGGTATCTGGCCTCTAAAGGCCTACGCAGCACCACTCCCCTCCAGACTCCTCACACTTCCCTTGCCACTTCCACACGCCTCACAAAACAACAAGCCTAGTACAAAGATAAGTTTCAGATCAATACATGTACTACTTTTTATCCCATATCTCCACCATTCATGAGTCACTGCAAATACACATATAGACAGATGCCCCCCCTCCCATTTTTCAGCATCCCAAAATACAAAGGAAAAATAATTGCTGAGTTGGATTGGCTGAGCATACTTCAGACAAATTTTAAAAATAACCAAAACAAAAAAAAAAAAATTAAAAAAAAGATCAGGGAGGGAGTTCAACAGAATGAGTCAAAATTAATCAGTGACATACAAACTGAATTTTATTAATGTATTTGAAGTTTTCCATGCGGTCTCTAGGTCACACACTCTAACCACACAAACTACTCCCTGGAACCTTCAAATAATCAACAATGTATTTTTTTTTTCTACTTACTAACTGCGTTGCTCATGAGCCACATTTCACTCTGTAAATTTCAAGAAAAACTCTCACAGACGTTTGTTACTGATATTTACAGAACAGAACTTTTGCAAAAAAGCAATGCAAGTTTCATCAATGAAAAGTTTAAGAGTTGCAAAAAGAGCATAATAAACAATTACAGCTTTTTAATGAGATTTTTCTTAGTCAGACATATCTCAGACATTTCCAGACATGACTAAACTCCAAGATTCCCATTTCCAATTAACACATGCGTGTTACCCAATGAGCCCTCCCCCTAAAGCCACTCAGTATGAGATTACTGCAGAATCTGATGGTCTTTAGTAGAATACTTGGACAAACTCCAGCTCCACCAGCCTTCATGCTTATTTTTATAGGCACAGCCTCCAGCTTTGCACTCTGGTATGCAACCTAACACCCAAGTCCATTAAACTTTCCATCAAATACACATGAAATTGAACAACAGGTAATCGAGCTGTAGTCTGTTCTCTCGCTGGTACGAGTGCACTGTTATTGCCCTGTTTGCACCATGGCATGAAACTTAGTTAAGTTTCTTGAAGGGCTTACAGTGACCATGCCCGAGATGGTACAAGAGGACCATCAGGGGATTCAGATCTGAATGCTCTTGCAAGGGGAGCTCTTATGGATAAGATCTGGAATTTCAAAGCTGGCACTAGGATGTCCAACATCAAATATTCAGTGTTGAACATAACTACTGTGAAAAAGACTAGAAAAGACAAAAATTGTATTATCTTGCAGTAGAATGAGCCTATTTAACTTGTCACCTTTGGATATGAGGAGAGATTTGGGATTGTTCACTGATGGCTTGATGTGACTCTCACATTTACCTATCAAGACTGGCTAACACGATTATGCAAGGTCTAGCCAGCTTTACAGCATTTTCAAAGATACCCGTGTTACAGGCCTCATTCCTCACAACAAATCCTTTTGAAGGTTATAACTGCAACTCTGTTTTAAAACTAACATATGTAGCACACAGTCATTAGTCTACAGAAAACTGCTTGGAAACTGATGTTAAGTAAGCCCTGGTTTACTGCTGTAGAAACATTTCTATCCATTCATACAGCTTTAGTTTGACTTCATGTTTTTGAACTTGGACACAATTTTTGGTAATGCTTACAACTGAGCACTGACATGAGGAATTAACTGCACAGCTAAGCCATGAAAGGACCAATCCATTCCTACCACCCTGTGAAACAATCCTGAGAAGTCAACTTGTGTAGTTTGTTAGAGCTGAAGAAATCTGTAGTCTTTGTTAAGCACCAACAGTAGCTCTTTAATAGCCCAATTTGGTTTCCCCAGGATAGCATGCAAACTACAGATTTTATATGGTAAAACAAACATTATTTCCAGGTGTAACAAAGGATTCATTGTGCTCATCTGACTCTAAAAACAGAAATGCAAAGTGTAGTTTTGAAGAGTGAGGTCTGGGGAGAAGAGAGTGAGTGCCAATGAGGAGAAGGGAGAGAAGAGTCTGCACTTGAAAATTAATGTGTGGTTGTTACTGTGAACACTGTTCCAACTGTTACTGTTTTAAAAGTTTTCTAAAATATGCAACAGTGGCATGAAATTTGCAGGGCAGCAGAAGTCAAGTGATATGGGAAGGAGATAATATTCCTCTAGCAATTTGGTAAATAAAACCACACAGCACCACAACTACTAAGTAACTTCTATACTTCGTAGCAGCATGTGCACAGACATCTATTCTTTCCACCACTGATGAAGTGGATGTTTTAATACTTGCAACGATCTGCAACATTTTGCCTTCATAGCATAGATTCACAAACAGTACTTGTAAGGCTTTAAAAAAAAAATAAACCACATGATCAAACAAACCTGGAGATAAAAAGGGTAAATGATAGTGCAACAAACTACAAGAGAATATGATTCAGGAAAGGAAAAAAACAAAAAAAAAAACCCAACACACACAAAAAACAAATTACAAAAAAAAACCAGCAACAAAAAAAGATCCTTGTGTTTTGGCAGTAGTTCACACTTCTCAATGGAGTATGTTTAAGTTTTAGGCTTTCCCACCTGCAAGGCAAAGGATCCTACATTGTTAGAGATAAGTGACACCTTGTATCACCTGCCAAAGCACATATTCCAGATAATTACATTGCACAGCAGGGCCAGGCCCAGCTGAATCAGAAACCGGTGGAAATACATGCTTTTCTGTCACTGTCTCATGAACTGTGTGTTTGGACATGCTTGTAATAGCATGATAAAAATAAAACAGATTACCCATTTGTCATTCAAACTGATTTATTTCAAGAAAAAGCTAACCAGTCACAATTAAGTAGAAACAGGGAACAAAATACTTTACAATCATTAATAGTTCACATAGGAAAAAAAATCTTGACAAATCCATACCCATACAACTTACAGCAATCCTTCTTAAGAGAGCGCACAGTCTAGGGTACCCTCACAGAATAGGTTTCTATCCTTAATGCTTTAAATAAAACTTCCAAATATGAGCCAAAGACTGGGCAAGTTACTACTGTCTTCTTCAATCTCTGGGCAAATAGCTCTCTTTCCTTCTCTTCTCCTTTGTATTTCCTTGATCTAAAGTGGAATGAGATGATTATCACCCACTTTTACTGTAGGTATTAGGAATATAGAGGTAACCCTAAAAGTGATGTGAAACAGGTTAATTATACAAGTCACTGACTGAAAAAAACTCTGAATCCCTCAAGAGGAGCCTCTGCAGCTGCTGAATATGGAGGACTTGCCAGAAGGAGGATGAAAGCAGCAAAGAGGAGTCTGATATCTACCTGCCTTTATCAACAGCTAAAGGTTACCAAGAGGAAACAGGCTACCTCTTGAAAGACCACAGGAAATCTAAGACACAAGATTTTGGAAACGTAACTCTCAAAGGTATCAGGAAGATTTATTTTTTTTAACCATTGCGGAAGAAATCTTTCTACAAATACAGATTGTTTTGGTTTCTTCAGCAACCTCATCTAGTGGAAGAGCAACCTGGTCTAGTGGAAGATGTCCCTGCTCATGGCAGGGGGGTTGGATCTAGATGATCTTTAAGGTCCCTTCCAACCCAAACCATTCTATGATTCTCCAACAAGGTTTTAATGGATACTGAGAATCCTCATCTTATTTTAATTTTCTGGTTAATTTAAATTATCAGTCCAAACTTAAGGAGCAAGTAGGTGGAAGTGACACAATAGCAGATAGGTGCAACTGTATATTACCAAGCTAATGCCTACAGAAAAGGGAACAGGCATAGATGAGTAGGAAAATTACTCTGGAAGAAAGATGTGGCAGACAATGAATAGCAGAGGTACAAAAGCACAGACTATAACGAAGGGATAGAAGAAGCAAACAAAAATAACAGATCCTCCCATACTGAAGGATGGAAAGAAAAAAGTATTGTGAAACCATGAAAGGTTCAAATCCTTAGCAAGAAGGAAAAATATAGCCACACTAAAAATTAAAAGCAGGAGGAATTAAGTTATAATTAAGTACAGAATACATCTATTTGATTGTAATAAGCTGCAGACACAATTGCTTGCAGATCATAGCTACACTTTGGCTTAAATACTTCAGCTTTGCTCTTAAAAGACTTACCTTTCACCAGCTATCTTGGGAAGCCTCTACAAATTGTTAAATTCACACAGCCCCAGCAATACAACAGATACAATACTGTCTACATTTTAACGAAACCGGACTAAAGAGAGATGAAACAGGAAATGAAAGGCTCAACTGGAATCACAATTTGCCTCTTTATTCCCAGCCTATGTTTCAACTGTCAGTTCACAACATCACTCAGAAATTAACACGCCTGAAGATTTTCATTACTTCCACATATATCCAAGCTCATTGTTTCTGTTTTAAAATCCAACCACTCCAATAAACAAAACTTTTTTGCAAATCACAGACAGCAGGCAACATTTAAGCTCGCGTATTTCAAGACTACACTGTCTCTACATCAACTTGCTCTAACATCCTGGAATTGCCTTCCCTGGAAGTGAATTATTTATAACTACAATGTCCTCTGACAACAGGAGTATCAATGTTATTGTCAGCATCAGTTTTGGAACTGTTTTTATGGAAATCAGAAGTCCACCATGTTGTGCAACAAAGAAAAAGAAAAAGGAAAAATATCCCAGATGGAAAAGATCAAATGCAAACAACGCAGTACAGGAAAGACTACAGCACAAGGAAGGTTTAAAATATACCTAATACAATAGATTACGTTCAGGCATTTAGTCTATGTGTATCCTTATAAATAAATATGTATTTTAAGAATGACAACATAGCTCCTCATAGGATGTTATTTGGTAGCATATACTCACATATACTTCACTGTGATCAAAGCGCTTTTTCAGGTTATTGATGAACGAGTCTTCATTAAGTGGCTCTAAAAGAACCATATCTCCCACTCCTATCATGTTGTCTAAAAGTGATGTCTTCACCTCCATTTTGGCCATTTTCTCCTGCAAAGAAAGAAACAAATAAAAAAAGCAAGGACTAAAGTTAGCTCAAAATTATTCTAATTATTCACAGGCATTACCCAGTAACACTGTTTAAGGAATACAAATTTAAAATCCATTGAATGACACTGCTTCAAAGTATCTTTCCAAGGAACATTCTCAAAGTCATTCTATCTAGTCAAGCAGTCCACACATCCAAAAAATTAACTTCTAACAGTCAACAATGCCTTCTAGTCCACTATACATTAAACGTGAAACTGCAAGAAACAGGAATGAAGATTCCAGTGGCACCACATCCAGATTTTGGGGGTAACTTCAACACAGTGTTCAAGTGTACGCAAACCCAAGTTTTATTAAAAGCTTCATCAACATCTTCAGTGTATCAAATTAGTGTATAAATTTACCAATACTCTAATCTGAATTTCTTCCTCACTCTTACTTGCATTTCTCCATTCCCATCAACATTTAAATGGAAACTAACCAAGTGAACTCATGCAGAGACAAACCCCACACTCTTTTATCTTCATTCATAAACCCTGTACTCTGCAGTGCCTATATTCCAGCACAGTACTGCTCTTGGTTCCATGAGTCTACCAAATTCCTTCATTTCCTAACCAGACTTATTTGGATTTATTTGTACTTTCATTGCTTAAGAGAGCATTTCCATTGGGCAGCAACAATCCAGCTGACACGTGGAGACTCCTCATCTATATGACTGGAGTGTCAAAAGGCAGAAGCCAGGCTTAAACAGGGGACCAGGATCAAAGTAACCTAGTCTGATAAAATAATTCAAAGAAGTCAAGGTCAGGCCAAAACTCAACACCTATTTGACCGTCACAGCCTTTTATCCTCCAATCCAAATGCTTGAGAAGATTAACCAAGCTCCTCAAGAACTCCAGACACACAGGTAAAGCTTTCAGCTTTCACGATAAGACTGAAAAACAAATGTGTGAGCGGTGGCAGCCTGCAAATGGGCAACTTTGCTGAGAGAGAACAACTTTGCTGACAACATAAACCAAAAACCAACACAGCACAGCTACATCTACACAAAACCACAGCTAAACTTCACCAGTCAGCTGTAACCTCTCAGCTATGAAGTGCTATCAAGCTGTCCTTGCTCCATCATCACTGCAGCATATTTTAATTCTATTTTTTTTTCTCATTTTTCAAAATGCCTTTAAGCAGCTATTACCTTATACAATCAGCATTAATTTGCCATAGTAGTTCTCCATCAGATAATTAATTCAAAACAAGCAAAGCCTTTTATCTCTTGCTTCTGCCCACAGCCGCTGCGTTACTGTGCGTTATTTCATTTTTTTTGAGTAGTGAGTGACATTTGAGGGATATTAGATCAAGACTTAAGTGGTGTTTGATGTTTTTCCAAATTCAATGACGAGAAGCACAGCTCCACAGGCAGCTAACAGAAGTTAGCCAACAAGATCCCCAAAACCTGAACCAAGCCTGGGAATTACTAGAAATTCACAGGGAAATGTAAAAACAGTGCTGAACTATGGTAACCAACCAAAGCTGAGTCAACTCTGCTAAACAAACAAGAGAGTATTTATTTTAAACAAAAACACTAGACAAATATTTTTGTAGAGAAAGATACATTTATTCTTAAAAAGTTCACCTCTCTGAATCACCAAAAAAATTTTAAACATTCACAAAATCTGTTCAAAGGTATCCCTTCAACTTCTGTATCCCATTAAGGCAAATTGTTTAAACTACCAGTCTTGTTTCAATGACCTAATTACTTCCCATACATCAGCTAATGCTCAAATACTTTTTGAAGGCTGGGGGGGAAAAAAAAAAAAAAGGTCCTTCTCAAGTATGGAATTTATTAGATATTGGGTTTGTAGCCAAAAAAAAAGAAAAGAAAAGCCAACATAAAAATCCTAATATGGGCAATTTCAACCTAAAATTTAAGTTCTAACTAGTATACCTCATCTACCATTGTGAAATTACATACCACCTACCATTGCACTTCATGCATCACTGCTCAGGAATTTCAAGACCAAGAGCAGCCAAACCCATCAAGAACATTCAGGCATTCCCAAGCTGAGAGGCACGTTGTGCAGAAGAGGTGCACAAAGACACCATATCTACTACTAAAAGCTCTATCAGAAAGTTGTATATAAATATTAATGTATCAATATACTTTAAAAGTTCAATGTTATGGTCAAGGGTTAATTTTCAGTTTGTTTCTTTCACAATAATTAAACATGATACTATGGTTAAAATATTTCCATTAACTTGAGAGCTAGAAGATATAGAAACCTAGGTGATGAAAAAATTGCATAGTATGTCTAGACATCCTGTTTAACACTGAATCCTTAAAGTCATTTGCAATAGCTTAGCCTTTGCAAAACATTCATTACAAATTACTTCGTACTCTGATGTATGATTCAAGAGTATTCTGTCATACCAACGTTGTTAGCCCCCATTTTGGTGGAATCCAATCATAATCTCTGCTCTGGTTTAGCTAACAACAAAGGATAATCTGGGATAATTCAGTTGCCTATCTGAGGTAACAAGTGGGGGAAAAAAGCACTGTTAAGAAAACCCAACAATGTTTAAACATACATTAAACAAATAGATTTAATCGATAATTGAATTTAATCCACTAGAAGAAATTAATAAAAGATCAAAATATTTCAAAATACCTAATACTAGTTTTAAAAGCAGCTTTCAAAAAATACCTTAAAAATACCCTAAAAAAAATACCTTAAAAATCAGCACACTAAACAGAAAAAAAAAAAATCAAATCCTTGCTACATTGCAAAACTAAACTTCAGTCCAGATTTTTAGCAATATGTCACTAAGTTCAGAAAGTCAATCAAAATCCATGTCCAAGTATTTCTATTTGCCATATACTCAAAGACGCCTTGCAGCTGGAAATCTTTTCCCATTAGCACTGGTGACAGTGTGGCTCGCCACAGTTTGGAGAACAGTCCCTAAAAGTAAGCAGCTTCTACCTATGTTTGTAATCATGCACCTCTAAAAAGATGAATGTTTCCCAAGAACCATTTTCAAGAACCAGAACTATGAGAGGGATGGGACCAAAACACACTCCCAGTGTCTGAGAGATCAGTAACAACTGAAACCACAGCTGTCCTGGTGAGGACATTAGGTTCAAGGAAAGAACCAGAATGGGTTGTGTCTTTTAAAACAAGGACACACTTATTTTCAAATGAAGACTGCTGAACAGGAGATGATGTATGGAGGTCCTAAAGTGAAGCTTTATTTCAAACTGGAAATTCAATAAGAAGTAACCTAAAAATGTAAGTGGTATTCCCTCAATTTACCCAATACATTGCTTTGCAACTGCAAAACTGCGTTCTGTTGACATTAAGAAAAACGACAGTATTGTATAAAGATTACAGCTGCAAATTATTAAAATGTTAATACAGCAACAAATCAGCTCAGCAAAAAAACCCAAGATTCTTCCTCAGACATTCCCTGATCTCTCTCACACCCACTTACCACAAGAGCCTTCTCCCAAATTTACCTTTCTTATTCCTAAATCAAACAAACATCGTCAGGATTTCAGAGCATCTCCCTGCTCCCCAGTCACTTGCCAAACCTTCTTCCTCACTTTGGTCTCATATCTAGCTAGGCCTTAATCCAATGGAGTGAGAACACTTTCAACACATTTCCATTCTCAGAAAAATAAAAAAAGATTATTCAGTAATCCTTCACAGCTTGATCTGTTTTATGTTGGACAACATGCTTGGGAAGAGAAGGGCTGGGCATGCTAGGTCTGTAAAATGCTTTTATCCACATGCTCCCACATGACACGAAGCCTTTTAAAACACAGACTTTTTATCTACTGCTTGCAGTGCCTGGGACTGACATCCAGCTAGGCCAGTTGAATCTAAAACATTCTCGTCTCTCTTGGCCACAAGGATGGCAAATTAAAAATTACACTATTCCACAGCCACAGCAGTCCTATCATCAGCCCATCTGAAACAAGAGCTAATTAAAATTATAAATCAGAGATGCTACAGAGAATAGGCAAAACCCCAAGAGCCTTGTACAATTAAGTTCACATATCTTCCGAGGGGGAAATGAAGTAATAGCCCATTATTGGCATACAGCACGTTACAGAATTGTCCAAGGTTTTCCACATCACCCTCACACACTAAAACAGTAACTATTGTCAGCAGCTTCCTACAGATGTGCAATTCTTAGCACACATTTGCATTTGCTGTACTGCAATTCTCACTGGCTGCAGAGCTGGCTTGTTTTTGTTCGTGACATTGTAGCAAAAGGATAATTTACCATCAAAGTAGTCACCGTAGATGTACTCACATATGCTTCAACCTCTAACTTACTCAAAAAAAAAAAAAAAAAAAAAACCCCACAAAAAAAGGCACCTTTGGTTTCACTACCACCAGTTCATGGTAGAAAATAATCACCTTTTTCTTTTATAAGAGTTAACAGGATAACCTGCAAAAGCAGTAATTCAATATCAGAGTTCAAACTGATTTCACATGGTTCCAGGTCTGATCCTGAGCCCGGGTCAGGCTGTAATTATGCTTGCCCACTCGTTCCCTTTTTTTCTCTGTCAGGGAGCAATCAGCCCACACAGAGCAGGGATACTGACAGGCCACTGCTGCAAAAAGCAGCGAGGAACACAGTGCCATTACCTGAACAAAACAAAACTGAAGTGGACTAAAACCATCATGTACTACTCAGGACAAGCATAAATACTGATTTAGTCAGAGGCAGGATTTAAATTCATCCTGTTCTGCTGCCCAACAAACCCCACATATCACTGGCCCCTGACTGATGCCCAGAAGGTGCAAGTTTGTTGGAAACATCTTGTGCTGGTTCACCAGGTAAACTGAGGCAGACTCTGCAGATGAACTATTATAGTACCCTTTTCACTCAAAGCTAGATTTGTTGACTTCAACACGTATGAAAAAAAAATGTTTATATCATCCAAAGGAAATACTTGCTTTGCCTCCAGATCCCCTAACTTTTTAGTCTCTGGATGCTAC